AAAAAAAAGCACCGAAATGTGCGCTGCTTTTCAGTCTGGTTACTACCGTTTATGACAGAACAGGTGCCATCATGGCACCGGATACCGGTACCCATCCCTACTCATTATCAGCTCTTTCTGATACAGAAAACATACCTTTTGTTTTTGCCCACAGGAGCTGGACAAGATTGTGGAGTATGAGCTGAAAATGGGAGGAGTCTTGTTGCACCCCACCTTCAGTGGAGGGAAAGAGAAAGACAAGTAAGATATTAGATTCTAAGAAGTGTAAGCAGTTTTGTGTTTAGTCATAATACTCAGAGTATAAATTCCAGATCATTTGTTGGATTTTGAACTTTCTTCTCTTTTTAGTCCAACTCCCCACCTTCACTTCTCCATTAAACACCCCCACACACTGTCTTGGGAGTATTACAAGATGTTCCAGTGTAAGGCCCACCTGGTGATGAGGCTGATAGAAAACAGGATCAGCATGGAGTTCATGTTGCAGGTCAGCTGGGTGCTTTCTTTTGTGTGTCAGTATTTTCAGTTGGGCTTCACTTTCAAACATGTTCTCTCTTTTTAGCTCAGTAACCTTTTGTTATTGTTTAGGTTTTCAACAAGCTCCTGAGTCTGGCCAGTACAGCCTCGTCTCAGAAGTACCAGAGTCACATGTGGAGCCAGATGCTTCTGTCCACTCATGCCTTCCTCAAATCCATCTCCAACGTCTCTGGCAAAGACATAGGCCCCCTCATCAAACAGTGGGTGTATCCTTTATCGCAGTTAGATCTGTGTTTGCAGACAGACGCTGGGATGGTGGAGGTTGCAGTGTTGGAAACAGTAAATAAGAAAGAAAATAACATTCAAATATTGGCATTAAATATGATATGAGTCTTTCTCCACTGGGTCTGACACCTCCGACTGTTTGTTTTAGTCTTAACCGTTCATATGCAGAGATCAGAGCAGTGTGGTGAAATTCTTCGGCAGCTTTGCCTTCAACAGAAAGAGGAACGTGCTGGAGCTGGAGATCCGTCAGGACTACACATCATCTGGAACTCAGAAATATGTGGTGAGTCTTGCAGCCCTGTGCCTGGTCACTCTGTCAGGACCCAAGCAGGTTTAAATTGTCTGACTTCTTTTGCTCTGTTTGAATGTTTCCTTGCAGGGTCCAATCAAGGTGACCGTACAAGAGCTGGACGGCTCCTTCAACCACATGCTGCAGATAGAAGAGAACAGCCTGAAACACGACATTCCCTGCCACTCGAAGAGCAGAAGGTACCGGACGCTGCGTCGCTCTCCTCTGCCGGGCTCGTGTATTACAATGGACACTATTACATTATTGCTATTATAGCTAGGGATGGGTATCGTTTAGGTTTTATCTGATACCAGTACCAAACCGGTACTTTTGAAACGGTGCCGGTGCTTAAAGAATGGAGAACACAAAATTGGTCCAAAAACCTCTCATGTTCAGCTGATTTTTGGAAAAAGATAACAATGTTAGCCTTTTCTGCAGCTATGGGGCATATATGGTATCACTCTTGGCTGGAAGCAGCTTAAACAATGGAAAAACACAAACTTT